CCACTGCTGCAGGTCGGCTGCACCCCTACACCCGACCACGAAGTCGGCTCCGCCCAAGCGAGGACGGGGCCAACACCCAACTCCCGTTGACACGTGTGAACGTGGCATGCGTGTTTGCCCCGACATGATTGCGATCGTGGAAATGTTGCGGTGGGCCGTGGCTCCATGGCAACCAGTAACCCTTGGCGATGACGGAGAGGACAAGGCTGCTGGGGCACCATGAGCTCCACCACGCGAGTGTCGCGCGGAGACGACCGCGCATGTGTGTAATAGTTCTGTCTGTAACGGCAAATTCGTACGGATCGTCGTAGCATGCCGCCTCGCACCGTCGTGCTCCTGTACATGTGAGGCCAAGTGGTATAAGGGTTGAGTATTCCATGTTAAAGCATGCGTGTGCATGTACATGTACGGGTAACCATTGATCGAAGGTGTGAAGAGAATTAAGAATTGAGCGAAATGTCAACGAATGTGTCGGGAGTGTTAACGCATGTCTCTTGTGCTCCTCGTTTCCTCTCTTTTTTTTTTTTTTTTTTCACTTGTCCCGTCGTCCACTTGGTAGGACATGGTTGTGCCTGCCCTTAGTGCGTGGGGGCTGATGCCTAGGGCCATGGACACCGTTGTCCATTGTGCTTTCACCCATTCTCTCTCTCTCTCTCTCTCTCTCTCTCTCTCTCTCTCTCTCTCTCTCTCTCTCTCTCTCTCTCTCTCTCTCTCTCTCTCTGCTCCTCCTCTTGATTCTCATAGTCTCTTTGCCAAAACCATAGGCCTTTAGGAAGGTAGTTTTTATTAAATCAACCAACACACATAGCAATGCTTTCCTAGCATGCATCATGCCACCAAGTGGCCAAACATATGGGACCGAGGGGTTGTTGTTCCCCTTCCCTCTCCTAGGCCCAAAGCCTATCCCACCCTTTACTAGGGCTGGCCTCTTGCCATCGCAAACCCCTAGGGTTGCCCACGGTCTTCGCACTCAAGAGTGCACCGTGCCTAGCGCCCAAGCGCCTAGTCCCATGGCCCGCTCCTACACCACCGGAGCGGGTCCCTGGCCGCCATGCCCGTTCCGAGGGCAGGCACTTGCCACGTGGCCCGGCTGGCCGCAGCGGAAGCATGAAACCTCGGAACCCACGGCAATTGGCCGTGGGCGGGGGGCCTCGCTTGGGTAAGAACGGCATCGGCCCGTTGTTTCCGCCGCGGTTGACACGAGCGTATCCGCTTGCCGCACGGTCCATCGCCGCCATGTCCGCGACTGCCTGCTTGAAGGGTCGAGAAGTCAGCAGGCTCTTCTGCTGGTACAGCTTGAAGCGCTTCGCCGTGCGGAAGTCGGAGGCGTCCTCCACTTGAAGCACCTCGAAACGCCCCGCGATGAGGTTGAGAGCGTGTGAGATGAGTTCGAGTCCGCCCGCCGGATCGCCGCGCTGCGCCTTGTATTCGGCGTGCAGCAGGTACGCCCGCAGGTCCTCCAGCAGCTCCGCTTGCTCTCGCACGGAGTCGTTGACGAAGGTTGCCGCCGAGAAGGTAAGGTTAGAAGAAGGGAGGGGGGGGAGGTGTTCCGTGCCAATAAAATTAGCATTGTTGACGGGAGCCTCACCGGCTTCATCTTCAGAGTCGTCGGTGTCGTTGTCGACCGCTGGAGCAGGGGGAGCGGCGGTCGCTGCGTCGTTATCATGCCGGTTCGTCCGTGCTCCTCGCGTGCCTTTTTCCTTTTTTGCAGTTTCTTTTTTAGCCGACGCAGATGCGGCGGGTAGTGCAGTTTCCGCGGCTGTAACGCTGACGGGTTGCTGCTGTAGAAGGGACAGCAGCGCGTTGACCTGGTCCGGGGTCAACGCCTGCGTCAGCGCAGGGGCGGCGGTCGCGTCAGACGAGGAGACTGCAGTCCGCCTCCTCTGGCGCTGACGCGACGGTCCAGCAGCGGGTGCTGGCGTGTGCTCGGCGTCAGTCGCGTGTGCCGCGCCAGCCCCCGTCGCCACTTGCGCCACAGGTGCCACTGGCGCCACAGGCGCCACTGGCGCCACAGGGACCGAAGGGTGCTGCTGGGTTTCGGCGTTTTTGTTGACCTCGAGCCCGCCCAGCAGCACGTCCACTGCAGTCGGGGCGGACGGTCCGTCTTCTGCCCGACGCTTGTTACGGCGTTCGCCCGCAGAATCGCGGGCGTTACGGTCGGAGTCGGAAGCGGGGGTTGACGAGTTCCCGTTGTTAAGTGTCGGCGTAGGTGCCATCGTTGAGCGATTGAAGTTGAAAATGTCGCTGAGTAAAGTAGAGGGTGACTCGCCTCTAGGAAGCGATTTAATCCTAGTCAGCTTGGAGGGAAAAACTACTCAGGCGGAAATGTTGAGTGAGCCGTTTGAAAATTGAGAAACGTGGGTGGAGGGAAATGAGCTCCAACCCACGGTTTTTGTAGTTGGAGAAGGGCGTTTAGCGCGCTTCGACGATGCCAATTGTGCAGTACAAGCAGCTTCGCTTTCACAATACACAATTTTAAAAAACACTACATGTGTGTTTAAAGCCAGCAGCTAAAATAGTGACCCCCCCCCTTCTAGTTGGGTCCAACTAGAATCTCCATACACTTGGAAACTTTTGGAAAAGTTGGAAGTGTTTTGTGAACCTTTTTTTCAACTCAGTTCGAGTTCGACGTGAACGGGGAAGGGAACGATGGGAGTTCACTTATGATTGGTGGTAAACTTATCGCACATACATGTGCGAATTTGGCGCAAGGATGCGCGACGTGCAATGCCACAGTCACTGGAAAAGTGGTAGCTCCACCAAATTCGAGCATAGTAAGCAAAATCCGAAGCACATACCACAAGCATGCCACAAGAGCGTATGCAGAGAACTAGCCGAGCGGTGATAACAGTGCTGCCTTGGACTTGGGGCCTGAGAGAGGTAAAATACAGGGGAGTGGAGAATGTTGACGGTGAGGGAAAATTGGTCATGGACAAGGTGACGCTAACTGAGAGAACTAGGTGTCATAATGTAAGAGGATGAAGGACGGCTGAGATGAATGGGATTGGAGGGGTGAGAGGAAGAACGACGGGAGGAGGGAGAGAGGAAGAACGACGGGAGCAGGGAGTGCGGAACAACGACGAGTTGGGAGAAGAGAGCGGGTAAACGACGAGGAGGGAGAGGACAGAGAAAAATCGACATGAGGGAAGGGAATCGCGATCGTGAGAGCAACGGGAAGGGAGAGGAGATGGTGAGAGGATCGGCCTGTGGGAGAACGTCGGGGTGGGAGGGAAGATTGTGAAGGCGATCGTAACCGATCGACGATGGGAGGACGATCGGAGCAAGAGGGTTATTCGCGATGGGAAGGGGACGTGATGTTCGACGGGAGGACGACGGGACGGCGACCGCGATGGGACGCGCGGGCGACGGGAGTAGAGAGAGGAAGGGCGACAGGGGTTGAGAGAGGAAGTGCGACGGGAGGGTAATTCGAGGCGAGCGCAATGGCGTCGAGTCTCAGAATACGGATAGCGCGCGCGCGACGGGAGGGAGAGCGCGATGGCGACGGGAAAAGTTATGGGAGGGGAGGGAGGAAGGGCGCGGGGAGAGCGTTTCAGAGCAAGAGCGTAGGCGACGAGCTGTGTGATGGGAGGGGAGAGAAGAAAGGCGACAAGGGGGGGGGGCATTTCGGGGAGAGAGCTAAAGCCAACGAGTGGGGAGCAAGGGCGACGGGGAGGAGGGGAGAGACCCACGAAGGTGAAGGGAGGGGAGCGGACAGCGGACGAATATTGTAGCCGCTGAAGGGTAGTGGAGATGGCCAAGGCGCGAGACACGACATTAGCCGCTGCGGAAGGGTAACGACCGTTTGCGGAAGAAAATAAACTGACGATACTAAGCTTACTAACAGAAAAACGCATTCCTGCAGGGTCGATAGTTACTTTTCCTGGTCACAAACACCTACTATTGTCAGCTAAATTATGCTAGGGAAAAAACTAGTGAGTTCGGGATGAAGAGCAGCTAGTCGTGAAACCCAGTTCCAGCTTGAAACCAACGTTCACCTGGCGATGGAAACCATCGCTGGGCAACAGTCGTGCAGGTGGAGCACGATGACGTGCGACGGATGAGATGCGCATGTAAACCTTTTTTGGCGGGAACAGAAAGAATCAAGATTGGCGAAAGCCAATCACATTTGTTCACAGTGCTGCACTTTTTGTTTGGAACAGTGCTACATCGGCCCCATCTCTGTCGCACCATTTCAAGTTGGGACAGGGTTCATTATTTTATATTTCGGTTTTAAAAATTATAATCTTATAAATGTCAATATGAACAGACCCGGGTCTTCTAAAAAATACACCATGTAATTATACCCCCCAGCCTATTTAGGGGTGAATTGAGAAAGCTTGCTTTCTGTTCCTTGTAATTTGGCATCGTTCTCATTGCAACTGGCCTATTACAACATTGCATCGTTCTAAAACACATGCAAGTACATACTGAACTATACTAGCTATGGAGCCAACCGTCCAAGTGACTGTAGTACGAAAGATAGCCCTGGGGTGGGTGGTGGGAATGTTGATAGAGCCGTTGAAAATAGAGAAACGTGGGTGGAGGGAATGAACTCCAACCCACGGTTTTTGTAGTTGGAGAAGGGCGTTTAGCGCGCTTCGACGCTGCCAAATATTCGGTACAGGCAGCTTCGCTTTCACAATACACAATTTTGAAAAACACGAATGTGTTTAAAATTTATAATTTATCATAAGACCCTAGGGTCTTATATATGGGGGATTACGGTACGTGTCGTTCTGGACCACATTACACCTAAGAAATCGAACATTTACACTGCATTGTATCTACCGTAGTCATTTGAGACATTACTAGGCATTGTTGACGCGCTTCAGGAATGTTCCCTTACAAGTACCGTACCACTTGAGAAGTGCCCCACTACAGCCTAATTGAAATAAAGCCATAGTTTGACACAAAAGTGTGACCACCAAGTCCACCCTGATAAACACGGTAGTGTATTCAAGGTCAATTTACCCTGAACAGCTTAGATAAGCTTCCAACTGCTAAACTTCGCCAATCTGCCCGCGCACGGCGCCATCAGGACGCATAACAGTGTAAATATTCACGTAGAACGCACCTGGATCCGTCAAAATCGCCTTTAGAACTGACACAAACTTTTCAGTCCGCTCCTCCGTTTTCTTCCCAAGACTGTTGGTGCATTGCCACCAATTGTTATCCATGGAGAACCGATATTTGCACGGCAGATCCAACACCTTGGGACCGTTCGATCCCGCTGTTCCGTTGTGTACTCGTGCTATGCTTGGGGCCACACCGTACTGCATATTCTCAGCTTGCACCGTGTACTCGAGCCACACTGGCTGGTCGTCTTGCCTAAATATCACACGTCAGAGAAACAGGGGTTGGTCTCAAAGACATTACAATGGGGTTGATTGAGCATCAGATTGAGCATCAAATGACTTGGAACATGGAAAATATTTGGTGTCATCAGTGCACCCATTGGCTCTCCTCTGTTAGAGCTGACAAACTCACTTGTAGATGGTCAATGTCAGGTACGCCTTGCCAGTTGGGTCTCCAACGGGGCTCCTGGAAGCTTTTGTGACATTCTTGGGCACCTCCTTGTTGCCTGATAGGAAGGTAAAGATGGTGACTGGTGTCGGAGGAACTGGTGTTGGAGGAACAGGTCTTGGAGGAACTGGGAGGGGAGAGGAAGAAGAGGGAAGATTGAGGGGCATGGAGGGTGAGGAGTTGGGAGGGGATGGTGGAGGCCAGGTTGGCTCTTGATGGTGAGACCTTGAAAGAGAAGGTATTTGCATCGTTAAAACCAACAGCGAGGGAGAGGGGGAGAGCGAGGGAGAGGGAGAGGGGGAGAGCGAGGGAGAGGGAGAGGGGGAGAGCGAGGGAGAGGGGAGAGGGGGAGAGCGAGGGAGAGGGGAGAGAGGGGAGAGCGAGGGAGAGGGGGAGAGAGGAGGGAGAGAGGGAGAGGGGGAGAGAGGGGGAGAGCGAGGGAGAGGGGGACAGAGGGGGAGAGCGAGGGAGAGGGGGAGGGGGGGAGGAGAGAGAGGGGGGAGCGAGGAGAGAGGAGAGAGAGGAGAGAGAGGAGAGAGAGAGAGGGGAGAGAGAGAGAGAGAGAGAGAGAGAGAGAGAGGAGAGAGAGAGAGAGAGAGAGAGAGAGAGAGAGAGAGAGAGAGAGAGAGAGAGAGAGAGAGAGAGAGAGAGAGAGAGATGAGTCCAGGTGGGAGAGTCACGTGCCATGCGGATTCTGTGTGACATTTCAAATCCGCGGTGATAAGGTGAGACGTTAGGGTATTCCATACTGGGGAGACTTTTTTGGGTGCGGAAAAATGGAACCCCGAAAGGGCGAACTGACCAGGTTTCTTAGCAGATTTCTTCGCATAGGCCATCGTCACCAGCGCCGCCGTGAGGAACGCTGCACGGATCACACACGCGACGAGAGGCGAGATTAGCAATCGGGTTACCATGCCTGGTTGACAGCTGGCAAGCAATGAGTTTGGATTGAGATGGCATATTGTTGCAGACTCCCTTCAGGGGTAACGCTTATCGATCAATAGCGCTAACAAAATGGTGACGCTTACCGATTAGTAAGACGCAGCGAGTACGAATGATGGCCATACTGAGGAAAGGGAGGAGATCGATCTGCAAGAGGAGCAAGTTATTGCTCCTCGAGATAGGTCAACGAGATTGAAATTGCTTCTGGGTGCGTTCTATGAGCTGAAATTAATAACCCATGTTTATAGTCACGTTGAGGCTCCGGGATGGAAGGACCAAAAAGTCCCAGCATTACGACTGAACGGGTGGAGACTGGCGGACGAGAAGCAAGGAGATTCCGCGAAGGTATCTCAGCGGGACGATAATTCAGAGCCTGGAGCAGAATGGAGGCGCATTGGGTTTTCTCGCGAACCATCAATAAGACAGGCGAGCGCATCAATCGGAATGGCATAGGCGCGGAGTTAAAATTCGCCATTTCTTGCCAGTTCTAAACGCGGGCCTGCCATTGGGTCCCTGCAACTAAAACATACCAGCTCGGGGGGGAGGAGTCATGCGCGCTGATTGGCTATCCGTGAGCTGGCTATATAATGCACGTGATTGTGACGCGCTGCTGAAGCTTGATCGAACTTCAAGGGGCAAAGATCAAACTGGGGCCGAACATTAGCAGAGAAGTGACCCAATTAGGGCCGGGTAAATCCCAACCGTTGGATATACCCCCGGGGCTGCCCAGGTGGCTGGGCCTAGGTTCCGAACCGAGACCTAAAGGAAATTTAAAAGTATCGACTGTTTTCGTTCAGTGATTTGTTTTATACTAAGATCGCCGCCTATTACGAAGCTCGCGCCGAATTCCTCTGGGGGTGGTTTCGTAGTGTTTATATTTTTTTTGAACAGCAGAAGATGATTGTTTTTTTGAATAATTTACATCACTTTTCTCTGAAAAAAAAAAATAAAACCCAATCGGAAATGGATGCGACTCGGGGAGGCATCAACCCTAAGCTCCAGGGAGGTTCCCGTGTTTAGGGTTGATCCCTCCCGAAAATGCATCCAGGTTCCCTAGGGGTTTTATTTTTTTCTGGTCTGCCCTAACAGTTCCCTAGTGCTTGGTAGCGCAAACGAGTGGAAAATACTGAGTTGTTTCGACATAAATCGAAAATATCACTCTCCGTCAGTTACGACGCGCGGGGCGGTGAGGATCTCTGACAAGTGAAATCACATACGCGAGCATGGGAAAGTCGGTTGTTAACTCAATAAATTCAGGTTCGGCAATCCGGCCCTAATTTGGACACTTCCCTGCTAATGTTCGGCCCCAATATGATCTTCTCCCAACTTCAAGCCAAGCCATGGCGGAAAGCAGGATGCCATAGGGGGAGGGGTTTTGAGTTGGTCGCACACTACTGAAACTATACGCCAAAAGCGCAGCACTGTAGCTTCTGGCGCAGGGTTTCTGCCAGCTATGCCTTTCAACGCAGTTCGATCATCATTGGCTAAAATATCGACGGACCGACAACTCCGCCTAAATTGACGGCCAGCGAACCGTCTACACCTGCATTTTGGGTAGACTATTAGGCCCGACGGCCTAAGTCCGCTAAAGAATTAGCGGGGTCGACTAAGTCGAGGATGAAAACGCGGCGGAAGACTTTGACGAAAGAACTAACGACGAAATAGCGAGAAAGTTACTGAGTAATTGAAGAAGAGTTGAATGAGAATTGGTTGATATGAGGGAATACAAGCAATGTTTATCTAGCATGCAAGAAACAAGGTTGGAAAGTAGATTGTGGGACTAGGAATTGTGAAGCTAGAAAAGTAGAGTGCCACGTGGCACTAGGAAATCCAAGAAGATAAGGATAGGGATGACTTGGATGGGTTGGGAAAGTACTGTTCAAAGGGAACAGTAAATCCCCCTTTAACACTACCCCCCTCCCAAGGAGGCGACGTCCGCGGCGCCTGCAGACTAAAGGTACGCTTTGAGGCAAGCGTTGTCAGGAGACAGCGAGGACGAAGGAACCCAGCTGTCGTCGGCTGCATCGTAACCACGCCAACGAACCAAGAAGTCGATGAAAGAGACACCCCCCTGGAGACGGCGACGGTGCCTGAGGATGCGCTGGATCTGGTAGTCGGGCTCGTCGGTGTCAACAGCTACCGGCAGTGGAGTGCGATCACGGCCCGAGAAGGTGGCGTTGGGATCGGTGTAAGACCGGTGGAAGGAGAGACACGTGGAATGATGGGTGCATGCGGAAATGAGCGGGAAGGCGAAGGCGGTATGCGACTGGACCAAGTGCGCGCTCAATGACAAATGGACCAATGAAGCGTGGGCGAAGCTTGCTGTCCTGTGGTAGTCGGAGGTTGCGGCTGTCTAAAAGGACACGGTCGCCGACTGAAACACGACGACTGCGGTTGGTGGTGCGTGCCATGCGTGCATTTGCGAGCTCAAGGTGCTTCCTCACGTGATCATGACTGAAGGTGAGATGCTGATGAAAGTTGTCTGCACGTGGGACTGTGGGTGTGAGATCGACACGAGTGGGGACATTGGGGTGCTGACCGTACAGTGCGAAGAACGGTGACATGCCTGTGGCGGAGTGGTGCGTGTTGTTGTATGCGAACTCTGCCATGCTCAGCTTCTTGTCCCATGCTGCTGCATCGTGCATCGTGATGCTACGAAGAATCTGCTTCAAGGTCTGGTTCACACGCTCAGTCTGTCCGTCTGTCTCTGGATGGTACGCTGACGACATGGCTAAGCGAGTCCCAAACAGTGCAAAAAGCTGCTTCCAGAACTTCGAAGTGAAACGAGGGTCACGGTCTGGGATGATGGTGTTAGAAACAATAGGAGTGGGGCCTAGGCTTAGTAGCCTAGGCCCACACTAGGAGGTAGTAGGTTGTGCCCTAGGACTAGGGTTTGTGGTATACGAAGGAGAATTGGAGAAGTGAGAATGGGAATGATGATTGAACTAGCAAGCAGCAGGATACATATAGGAAACCCTAAGGGGTTGTACTCACTATTGAGCACCCCACTGCAGGCTAGACAAATAACATAATCTGACACACCCCCATAGCCAAAGTGGGGTGTAATCAGCACACGTGAGAAGTCACAGCAATAGTTCACAATTATCAGCAAAGCTAGTGGCAGTCACAGGAGGCCAGTGAGGAGGAGGAGGAACTGTGGAGGGAGAGAAGAGAGGAGGCGACGACTGAAGTTGCAGACACACGGGCACCAGGAGCACCAGGTTGCAACCTCCTCCAACTGTCTCACTCCCCCCTACACTCACCCCCAGTGTCACCACTCGCTTCTCGCCCACATCACCCCCTTAGCGCCACTCCCTCGTCTCCCACACATCCACCCCCCCGCAGCGGCAGCTGCAGCAGTGGGAGACGGAGGAGAAGGTAGGGGCGACGCACAAGGAGCACCCCCACACCCGCCACCCCCACACCCTCCTGTCCAGGGGACGCAGGGGGGGGGGGGGGAGGGCCGGGGCGGGAGAGCGCACGAGGGCGCAGGCAACCGCGCGTGCAGAGCAACAGCGCGGAGCAGGTAGGGTAGAGCGCACGAGGGCGCGGGCAACCGCGCGTGCAGAGCAACAGCGCGGAGCAGGTAGGGTAGAGCGGGGGTGAGACTGAGCGCGACTGCACAGGGTCCAGGAGCGGCGTCGCGGGCAGCTGCATGGTCGGCTGCTGCTGGTGCGGTTGCTCCAGGGGCGGCGTCGCGGGCCCAGGGGCGGCTGCACCAGGGGCGGCGGCTCCAGTGGCGGCTGCTCCAGAGGCGGCTGCTGCAGAGGCGGGCGACTCCAGGGGAGGCTGCTGCAGTGGCGGGCGGCTCCAGGGGCGGCTGCTGCTGTGGCGGGCGATTCAGGGGCGGCTGCTGCAGTGGCGGGCGGCTCCAGTGGCGGCTGCTGCTGTGGCGGGCGACTCCAGGGGCGGCTGCTGCAGTGGCGGGCGACTCCAGGGGCGGCTGCTGCAGTGGCGGGCGACTCCAGGGGCGGCTGCTGCAGTGGCGGGCGGCTCCAGGGGCGGCTGCTGCTGTGGCGGGCGACTCCAGGGGCGGCTGCTGCAGTGGCGAGCGGCTCCAGGGGCGGCTGCTGCTGTGGCGGGCGACTCCAGGGGCGGCTGCTGCAGTGGCGGGCGGCTCCAGGGGCGGCTGCTGCAGTGGCGAGCGGCTCGAGGCGCGCCCTGGCCTGGCGCAGTCCGTACGGGCCGCGCTGGCGCTCGCGGCTGGCCGTGGCGCTGGCGTCCGCGCGGGGCGACGAAAGGGGGGGCGCGGGGCGACGAAACGGGGGCCGCGGGCGACGGGAACGGGGGGGCCGCGGGCGACGGGAACGGGGGGCCGCGGGCGACGGGAACGGGGGGCCGCGGGCGACGGGAACGGGGGGCCGCGGGCGACGGGAACGGGGGGCCGCGGGCGACGGGAACGGGGGGCCGCGGGCGACGGGAACGGGGGGCCGCGGGCGACGGGAACGGGGGGGCCGCGGGCGACGGGAACGGGGGTCCGCGGGCGACGGGAACGACGCGGGGCGACGCGGGGGCGACGGGGCAGAAAGCCGCCGCGCGCCTCGGGGCGCACGGCGGGCAGAAAACCGCCGCGCGCCTCGGGGCGCACGGCAGGCAGAAAACCGCCGCACGCTTCGAGGGCGCGGCGGGATGAAAAATTAGGGTTTCGCCGCCGCGCACCACGGGGCGCGCGGCGGACACTACGGCAGCGGAAGCAGGTGGTGGGCCCATAGAGGTAAGCGGCAGGAACGTGCTCGCTCTGATACCATGTTAGAAACAATAGGAGTGGGGCCTAGGCTTAGTAGCCTAGGCCCACACTAGGAGGTAGTAGGTTGTGCCCTAGGACTAGGGTTTGTGGTATACGAAGGAGAATTGGAGAAGTGAGAATGGGAATGATGATTGAACTAGCAAGCAGCAGGATACATATAGGAAACCCTAAGGGGTTGTACTCACTATTGAGCACCCCACTGCAGGCTAGACAAATAACATAATCTGACAGATGGAATCGGGAACCCCGTGCAGTCGGACTACGTTATCTACGAACAGCGTCGCGGCTTCCTCTGCTGTGACCTGGCCGTGCGTGGGGATGAAGTGCGCTGCTCGAGAAAACTTATCCACTACCACGAAGATGGCATCGTGACCCCTAACTGTGCGCGGTAATGCCATGATGAAGTCCATCGTAACTACCTGCCAAGGGCGGTCGGGTGGTGGAATCGGCTGCAAAAGTCCCGCCTTGCGCTGGCAAGAGGACTTCATACGCCAACACGTATCGCACGAGCGAATGTAATCCTCTACGTCTGCTGCAAGCCCTGGCCAGTAGTACGTGCGATTAGGCGTCCTAGCCGTCTTATCTGCTCCGAAGTGACCTGCACTAACGACATCGTGTGCCTCGGAAAGAAGGAGCTGTCGAAGAGGGCGGTAGGCTGGAACCCAAATCCGTGCTGTACCCTTCCGTATGTAGACACTACCCTGCACCTCTGCTCCTGCGGGCGGCTGCGGTGTGAAGTCGGGATCTACTGTGTAACCGTGCTCGAAGAGTGCTGTGAGAAATGGATGGCCGGTAGTAACTGTGAGACTAGCGAGCTGGCAACTAGGGCGAGTGAGCGGATCTGTTGGGTTGCGAACGCCTGACTTGTACTCTATCCTATAATGGAAGCTCCCCTCCATGAACTCCATCCATCTAGCCTGGCGACGACTCAGCTGCGGCTGCGACTTGAGAAAGCGAAGCGAGCAATGGTCCGTGCGTATAACACTATCTGCCCCCTCTAGGTAGCACCTCCACACCTTATACGCATGGATGATCGCGAGCGCCTCCTTGTCGTGTATGGGATAGTTCAACTCCAATCCCCTCAGCTTACGCGACTCGTACGCGATCGGCTGCAACCCGCGTCCCTGGTCCTGAAGAAGCACTGCTCCTATGGCCTGATCGGAAGCGTCGGTCACTACAACGTACGGGCGAGTGGGATCAGGGTACGACAGTGTCGGTGAAGACGTGAGCGACTGCTTCATCTGCTCGAACGCCTGCTGCTGCGCTGGACCCCAAACGTACTCTACGCCCTTCCGAAGTAGGTCGGTGAGTGGACTAGCGATCGATGCGTAACCCTGAACGAAACGGCGGTATTAATTTGCGAATCCGAGGAAGCTCTGCAACTCCTTGACTGAGGTCGGTGCTACCCAATCCTGTACTGCTGCGATCTTCTTCGGGTCGGTCCTAATGCCACTAGTAGAAACGACGTGACCTAGAAACTCGACCTCGGGGAGGAAGAACTCGCACTTAGACTGCTTCGCGTACAGCTTCTCCCTCCGCAAGACCTCAAAGACCCTCTGCAAGTGCTGCACGTGCTCCTCTTTCGACTTGGAGAAGATCAGGATGTCGTCTAGGTAAACGACAACGAACGAACCTAGGAACTCTGAGAGAACAGTGTTCATGAGCGTCTGAAACGTCGCTGGGGCGTTGGTCAAGCCGAACGGTAAAACTCTAAACTCGTACAACCCCTGCTTCGTACGAAACGCCGTCTTGTGCTGGTCCTCTGAAACTACACGAATCTGATTGTAACCCGAACGAAGGTCGATCTTAGAAAAGACTCTAGCGCCCTGCACTGCATCGAGAAGATCCTCTACTCTCGGCACCGGGAATCTATTCTTGACGGTGGCGGCGTTCAGTGCGCGGTAATCTATGCACATCCGTAACCCTCTATCTTTCTAAGGCGAGAACAAGATCGGTGCTGGCCAGGGCGATCTAGATGGCTGGATAAAACCCTGTGCGAGAAAGTGCCTAACCTGCTGCGTTATCTCCTCTGTCTAAGCTGGACTCAACCTCCACTGCGGCTTCGCTACTGGCCTGCTCCCCGGCTCCAACTCTATTCGATGGTCTACTGCTCGGCTGGGAGGTAACCCTGGGGGCAACTCGTCGGGGAAGACGTCTGCGAACTCTGCTAACAGTGCACTCACCTCAGTGGGAAGATTCGCCTTCTCACTAACTGCTGCACTCCCTCCTTTCCCCTCCCCTGCTTCCACCTCCTCAAGGAATATCGCGAAGATCCGTGCCGCACGCTTCACTAACTGTCGCACACAAACATCATTAATGATAGCAGTGGATGATGTGGCCCCATCTCTCCACTGTGGCAGCTCCCAGAACACCCCGTGACCTTGACACTGCAGCTTCCCTGAGCCCAATCGAACTGAGTACTAACCGTCCGTAGCCAATCTCTCCCGAAGATGAAATCGTATCCGTCCAGCGTCGCAGAGTCGAAATCACGCCTAACTGTGATCGGTCCTAGCACTACGCGCAACTTGCGAATGATCGGTCCTATGTGGAGAGGCGTCCCATCTACCATGCAGGTATGCGTCCTTGAAGTTGACTGAAGTGTCCGCTTCGAGATGGAGACGACTAACTAATGAAGACGAAACGAACGAGTGGCTAGCTCCGCTATCGACGAGAATCTTAACAAGAACTCACACCGCGAAGCTTCCCTAGAAGCACGACTGGACGATCAACAGTGTCTACCCCGTTCTCCGTAGATGACTGCTGCAAGGCCGTCTCCTCTACGTTGGTAGACGTGGTGGGTACAGGAACCTCCACACCAGCTAGCGACCCGCTATCTACTGGCGGTTTCCGTTTCCCTGCTGCCGCTCCTTGAACTGTGGGCAGTCCCGCTTCATGTGACCCGGCTTTTTGTAGTAGTGACAGTTCCCCCCTAAAACCGTTCCGCTGTGAGCCGTCACTGTTAACTACGCCAATCTCCATGGGCGATGGTCCGTCCCTCGATCGAGCGTCGTTGATCGGTCTGTTGTATCCCCTATCGCGATCGTCACGACCCCGTCGGCTTCGTACTGCGTCGACGCGTTCTGCTGCTGCGACAACTGACTCAAAGGTGGACAACCCATGAATTACTATAACCTCCGCTATGTCCGCCTTCAACCCTTCGAGGTAGCGATCGTGCATCTCCGTTTCCGTGATGTCGTCTATCTCGTTGCAGATGCTCAAGAACCGTCGTGTGTACTCCTGGACGTTCCCTATCTGGCGGAAATGACGCAGACGCTTCCTAGCAGCTTCGGAGGCGTTCACCAAATCGAACCTACTTTTCAGCGCCGCTTCAAATCCTTCCCATGTCGTCGGAACCGTGGTAACACCCAAAGCTAAACTCCCTAAGCTCGAAGTTGCAGCTGCATGCCCCACGCCCTGTTGGTGTCTGTCTAACTGAGCCCTCCGTACAGCAGTCTGCGTAAGTTGGCGCCACCACTCCAAGGCCGGGCCCCTCAGCAGCGTCACCGCGTACTCGATCCGCTGCTGCGCGTCCGCCTCTTGCACCCCGCTCGCGGCGAAGTAATTGTTGAGCATGAAGAGCCACGTCCGCACGTTCGCGTCGCGTTGGCTCGGGTCGAACGACCCGGGCTTCTGCGGCTTGAATGCGCTGCGACGTTCCGGCAGCGCTTCCGCGCCAGTCGACATGTTGGGTGCAGGAGATGGTGCGGCATGACCATGGGGGTTAGAAGCCAAATTGCGAAGCTGTTGCATTTCGGCTCGTACGTGACGATTTTCCAACGTCATACGTTTGAGTTGGCGCATGAGCTCAGCAAGCGTGACAGTGTTGCCCATGTCATGGGGGAGAGCGTGCATGGTTTCATCCATGTTCGCCCAACGACTCCAAGTCTGCAAGTCGGCACCGCGGGATGATGACGTCGTAGTCTCGTCGCCTACGGTCGCTCGTTGGAAGTCGCTCCCCGCGAAGGCTCTTGATACCAAGTGTTAGGCCCGACGGCCTAAGTCCGCTAAAGAATTAGCGGGGTCGACTAAGTCGAGGATGCACACGGCGGAAGACTTTGGCGAAAGAACTATTGGCGAAATACGCGAGGAAGTTACTGGGTAATTGAAGAAGAGTTGAATGAAAATTGATTGATATGAGGGAATACAAGCAATGTATATATAGCATGCAAGAAACAATGTTGGAAAGTAGATTGTAAGATTAGGAATTGTGAAGCTAGAAAAGTAGAGTGCCACGTGGCACTAGAAAATCCAAGAAGATAAGGATAGGGATGACTTGGATGGGTTGGGAAAGTACGTTCAAAGGGAACAGTAAATCACCCTTTAACATAGACAAAATATATATACCCCTCTCGGTATGGTATGCTGTTTTGGGAGGCATCAACCCTAAACACAATGCGGAAGTGTTTAGAGTTTATACCCAAACAATTGGTTTATTTTCCGCGATGCGTATTTTTTTTCGATGGCAAGCATCGAAGGAGTCACCAACCATAAACACCATATATTGGATGTTTAGGGTTGATGCCCTTTCTCCCTGGTGTTTTTGTTGTTGTTGTTGTTGTTGTTGTTGTTTTTGTTGTTGTTGTTGTTGTTGTTGTTGTTGTTGTTTTTTTTTTTTTTTTTTTTTTTTTTTTTTTCCGTGCAGGTAAAAAACAAGACTGGGGAGTTACTGTTTCCCCTAAAGGTAAATCCAATTGGCCTCTTACGTTCTGACATGTGGCCCAATGACCATCGAAATGCGTTAAATGGAGCTAATTCTGCGCTATGTGAAAAAACCTGGCAAAAACCCAGCGCTAGAAGGTGGTTGCGTGCCGAACTGCTGCCACAGGTTCCGCTACAAGTTGCTGGTAAATATCGTCTTATGGTCACCAATGATTGCTGCTGCTTGTCAAACAATATCTGTGCTAGTTTTGTATAGGCTGTAGTGGGGTAGCCCATATGGGTTAGTACTTGTACCCACAGTTCATTCAATGCAACCATTCCTGCTTGCTATCTTAACATGGTTTTAGAGTAGTAGGTCCATAGGGTTGTTTGTTTTCGGGCCCTCCATACTTAGCAACCGCCTGCGGTTACCGTATTACCCCACTACCCTGCGTCGCACCGCCCGATCACGCCCTGCCCTGCCTTGCCTTGCGTCACACTTCCCGTGTACGCCCTGCACCGCGTCGCGCTGCCTCGCGCACGCCCTGCCTTGCCCCGCGTCGCGCTGCCTCGTGCACGCCCTGCCCTGCCCCTCGTCGCGTTGCCCCGCGCACGCCTTGCCCTGCCAAGCGTCGCGCTGCCTCGCGCACGCCCTGCCCCGCGTCGCGCTGCCCCGCGCACGCCCTGCCCTGCCCCGCGTCGCGCTGCCCCGCGCACGCCCTGCCCTGCCCCGCGTCGCGCTGCCCCGCGCACGCCCTGCCTTGCGCGTCGCGCCCTAAAGCAGCCCGTCACGTCGTGCTCTGCTGCCCCGCGCGTCGCGCTCTGCTGCCCCGCGCGTCGCGCCCTGCTGCAGCCCGCGCGTCGCGCCCTACGGCAGCCCGCGCGTCGCGCTCTGCTGCCCCGCGCGTCGCGCTCTGCTGCAGCCCGCGCGTCGCGCCCTGCTGCCCGGTGCGTCGCGCCCTTCTGCAGCCCGCGCGTCGTGCCGTGCTAGTGCGCGCCCTACCACTCGCGCCGCCCAGACCGATCCCCGCCACTCAGTCCGAGCCCGCCCTTCCCAACGTGCTCCGCTCTTCGACTCGTGCTACTGCTGCTGCTGTTGGAGGTGCTGCTAGGAGTATTGGAAGTGCTGCAGCCTAGCCTCACGAGCCGCTCTACTGCTCTTACTGCTACTGCTGCTACTCGTGCTACTTCCTTCACTCCGTACGACCCTAGAGGTCGCGCTCCTCCTACCTTGCCCACCATGACTTCACTTTGTATTAGCGGTGGGAGTGGTGACGGCGGTGGTGGCAGCAGTGGGAGTGGTGGCGGCCGTAGTAGCAGTCACTATGGCGCTGTTTGGTGCGGAGTTTCTGGCGGTGGCCAGACGCAGCTACGACGGCGTCCGAACCTGACGTCCCGACAGCTTCGTGAGTGGTTTTACCAGCGTGGGACGTCTCCGAGTCCTGGTCGCTGCCCGTACATCATTCGCACAGGTCGTCGAGTTGGTCAGACCTGTGGGGCACCTGGTCACGCTCAGTCCCGCAGCTTCTCCTATTTGAGTGATGCCTGGCACGCAGGCTTTGGCAACGAGGCTGAGATCCCCCACTGGCTTGAGCTACTTAGGTCGGGCGTTTTGCTTTAGACTATGACGCCATCCTTATCGCCATGTATCCTTTGCCTGGTGGTGCTGAGAGTGACTGTTACCTGTGTGTGCAGTACGACCCCGGTATAGAGGTTGCTGCTCTAGGTGCTAGTGCGGCTGCTGCCTTAGGTGCTAGCGAGTCTGCTCTCTCAGGTACTGCGCCTGCTGAGGCCTTGCACACCTTCACGCTTGACTCAGGTGCTTCCCTCTGTTTCTTCCGCGACAGTACCGCACTCACACCACTCCCTGCACCTGTTGCAGTGTCTCTGGCTGACCCCTCAGGGGGCCCAGTTCTTGCACGGTCCACCACTGTGCTCCCGTGCCCAGCTGTTCCGTCTGGCTCACTGTCAGGCCTCCACCTCCCCTCGTTCTCTACGAACTTGGTGAGCAACGCAGTTCTCCAGGACCAGTGGGTTGACACCTTTACCCCTGGAGGACAGTGTGGGGGCGATCTGTACGTGCTCCAAGACCGGCCGCCACCTGGCCACGTTTACCCGTCGGCCAGGGTCGAGTCTTTACACACTGACTACTGTGTCTCCTCAGGAAGCCGCTGTCTGTCAGGTGTCTGCGTCAGGTCTAGTAGCCACCCCTTGTTCGTGTCGCTCCCTGTCGCACCAGACTCTTCTCTGGCACCACCGCCTGGGTCACCCCTCCTTGCCACGTCTCCGTGGCATGCACCGTCGCCTCCTGGTGTCTGGTCTTCCCAGGTCTCTGCCTCCCCTTCCTGCCTCGCCTGCGCCACCCTGCCTTCCTTGCGTCGAGGGGCGGCAGCGCGCTGCTCCTCACTCCTCCTCGTTTCCCCCGACAGAGGCTCCTCTGCAGACCCTCCACCTGGACGTGTGGGGCCCAGCCCGCGTTCGTGGACAGGGCGGTGAGCGGTACTTTCTGCTGGTTGTCGACGACTACTCGCGTTACACCACGGTCTTCCCCTTGCGCACCAAGGGTGAGGTCCCTGCTGTCCTGATCCCTTGGATCCGAGCAGTTCGTCTCTAGCTCCGCCGGAGGCTCCGTATGGACCTTCCTGTCCTGCGTCTGCACTCTGACAGAGGTGGTGAGTTCACCTCCGACCTCTTGCGGGCCTTCCGTCAAGAGGAAGGCATCGAGCAGTCGTTCACGATTTTGGGCTCACCGCAGCAAAATGGGATTGCTGAGCGCCGCATTGGCTTGGTCATGGAGATCGCTCGTACTTCCTTAATCCATGCGGGGTCTCCCCATTTTCTGTGGCCGTTTGCGGTCCGGTACGCCGCGCATCAGCTCAACCTCTGGCCCGTGTCTCCTTGCCAGACACCTCGCCCACACTGCGTTGGACGGGGAAGGTTGGCGATGCGTCGCGTTTCCGGGTCTGGGGTGCTCGTGCTCTTGTCCGCGATACGTCCACGGACAAGCTCTCCTCCCGCGCCATTCCCTGTGTCTTCCTTGGCTTTGTCCCTGACACGCCTGGCTGGCAGTTTTACCACCCCACCTCGCGCCGTGTCTTCCCCTCTCAGGACGTCACCTTTGACGAGTCGGTTCCTTTCTACCGTCTCTTCCCCTACCGCACTGCCCCTCTCCCTCCCCCGCCGCTTTTCCTCGCTCCAGGTCCCCCCCCAGTAGTCCCCCTCCCCCCTCAGGGTCCTGCTCCTTCAGGTGTGTCTCAGGTAGACCCACTCCCCTTGGCTGAGCCTTTCGAGGTCACTTCCGACACCTCTGGCCCAGCTGAGGGGGGTGACGTTGCTGCTGACGAAGCAGTGCCCCCCCGCCGCTCACCACGCTTGGCGACCCCTCCGGGTTTTCCACCTCGACCGTCTTCGCCGCCTCTGCAGCCGGTTCCAGTTGGCCCAGGCGCTGCTGGGGGTGGTGTTGCTCAGGGTGCTGCGTTTGGGGGTGCTGAGCGTGTGCGAGAGGTGCTGGGGGGTGCGGAGCCTGGGGGTGCTGAGCTTGCAAGTGCGGAGCCTGGGGGTGCTGAGCCTGCGAGTGCGGAGCCTGGGGGTGCTGAGCCAGAGGGTACCGGGTTCGGGGGTGCTGAGTCTGCTGGCGTTCGTCCGGGTCTCCCTCTTTCTACTGCTGGAGCTGCTGGAGCTAGGGGTCGTGGAGAAGCTGGGAGTATAGGCGTTTCTGGGATCCGCCGTGCTTGTACCGGGGGTGCTGGAGCTGCCAGGACTTGCGGTCCTGCTGGAGGTGGAGATGCTAGTTCTGGGGGTGCTGAGTCTCCTAGCGGTCCTCCTGGTGCTGCGTCGCAGCAGCCACCTCTCTCGCCACAGCAGCTACGCAAGTTGTACGCTCAGCACTTCCGCCGTTGGAGTCGCACTGCTGGAGGTCCTGGAGATGTAGACACTGGTGCTGGAGGCGCCAGTTCTTGCGGTGCTGCGACTGGAGGTACTGGGGCTGGAGGCCCTGGAGCTGGTGCTGTCGACTCTGGAGTTGGAGACCCTAGTGCTGGCGGTGCCGGTTCTGGGGGTGCTGCTGATGGAGGTACTGGAGTTGGAGACCCTGGAGCTGGAGGTGCCGGTTCTGGGGGTGCTGCTGCTGGAGGTACTGAGGCTGGAGACCCTGGAGCTGGAGGTGCCGGTTCTGGGGGTGCTGCGACTAGAAGTACTGAGGCGGGAGAACCTGGAGCTGGAGGTTCTGGAGCCGCTGGAGGTGCTGGAGCTGGAGGTTCTGGAGCTGCTGGAGGCGCTGGAGCTGGTGGTTCTAGATCTGCTGGGAGGGCTGGAGCTGCTGGAGGTTCTGGAGCTACTGGAGGCGCTGGAGCTGGAGATTCTGGAGCTGCTGCAGGCGCTGGAGCTGGAGATCCTGGAGCTGCTGGAGGCGCTGGCGCTACTGGTGCTGGTGACACTGCACAGCCGTGATTGTTTTTCGCTCCGCCGTCACCGTCGTCTCTGCCACCGCCTGACTCCGTGCTTCGCCAGGTTCTTAGTTTGCCGTTACAGCCTGGCTCACCACTGCCTGTTCCTTCTCCTTACACTAAGCAGGGAGACTCGCTTACAGAGCGTCGTGAGCCTGCGTCTCGTCCTGTCTCGCCTGTTCGCACTGGTCGTACTGGTCGTCGTGTTCCTCGTGAGCGTCCGCCTCCTGTCCCTGGCACGCACGCTACGGAGCTTTGTCCTTCCTCTGCTCCGCAGTGTGTTCCCTTGCTGTCTCCTCCTGCGTCTTCTCTGCTTGACGTTCCGGACCCTGAGTCTGACCTGTTTCGTGCTGCTCACCCTACTGTCACGCGTCTACTAGCCACTGTTGTCACTGACCTGTCGTTTGAGTCTGCTGCTGCGTCTCCCTTGGTCGCTAAGCTTGTTGACTTTGCTGCTGCCTGTCGTCTAGACTACGCTGCTAGCCTTGTTGCTGAGTTTGAGTCTGTCTGTCCTCCGTCCGTCGGGGGTGACGGACGTCCTTGAGGACAGACAGGAGGACTTTGAGTGTCTTGCGGCTGCTGCACCTCATCTCGTGGCCATGCTGCTTGCACCCGAAGAAGACCCGGATG